TCTGGACACTGTTGTTGTTGCGAGATCTAGATATACCAGTTGATGTGGTGTATGTATATATATATATATATATATAACAGGAGAACGATCGACGAATTTAAAAGATATAACGAGAAAAATCTCACTAGAAAAGAACAATAAAGCGAACACACAAATTTAAGTGGTTTGGCAAATTGCCTACGTTCACGGAGTTGCAGAGGATTTTACTACTTGAGGAATTTACACCAGTCAATCACCTCGACTTACAAGAGGAATCTCTCACTTTTCGTTGCTCTCTCTTTTCTTCTCTCTCTGTTCTTCTCTCCCTATACCGAGATACACCGAAGAAAACTCTACACCGAGATACACTGAAGAAGACAAACTTACAAGAGAAATAGACTCAATTTCTCTTCTGCCACAAGCTACCAAGAAGAAGTTTAGGGAGAACAATCTTCTTCTTCTTCCTTCGGCAGCAAGGAACTGCTCCTCCTTGCACTTCTCTTCCTCTGCCCCGAGGAAACCTTCCTCTATTCTGAGGAAACCGAAAAAGAACTCAAAGCGTGACTTCTAAACCTAAGGAGAGTCATCCGAATCTTTTATTACGAAACATGAGGGAGCGAAGAGATGCTTCACTTCACAAAAGAGGAAGGCGGGAGTGGTTATTTGTCAAGAGGTGTGACTCTCCAAAGCAAAGTAACCACCCAAGCATAGTGGACCGAGCTCCACACCGTTTCTAACAGACACGACTATAATATTTCCATCTAGAACTTTGATATTACAATATCTATTTTGCCTTACACATTGAATTATATATCTCACATCCAAACTTTAATATTTACATATTAATTGGTTTGAGGCTAGTATGAGGACTAATTTGATAGTTTCTATAGATTTTGAGACTAAAATAGCATGTCATGCAAACAACTAGAGGATTATTTTGGCACATGACTCGAACCGAAAACTTCAATGGAATGTCTCCACGTATAATTTCACCCTTCTTCGTTGTCGCAGATACATTGATAGTTATTGATGTTTTCTGAAAATGTTTTTCAGGTAGTCTCTTCATTGCAAGAACAGTTGTTGTTCTTATGACCATGACATTGGCGACGTCAATGGCTGCAAAAGAAGGCCCAATTCCATGGTCGTTTATCAAATATACTTGCAAGTTACGTTGGCAGTATCCCTCCTGAATGATGCTTTGGCTCTTGCTGGACAGGTCTCTGTTTTATCCAACTTTATAGTTTTACATTTAGTATATGCTATGACACAATAATTATCTCAATTTTTAAGTCATTAATGTAGTGTTCATGTTAAGATCTTTACAGGTTAGCATTTCTATCAAGTTTCACTTGAATAGACTAATCATCTTTTATAAAGTTTATTTAATTTCCCAGATTGGAGCTATATCAGGGGTCATATTAGCTCTTTTTCATGTGGAATACACCTTTTCATGTATAGGTAAGGCGGCATATATGTTAAAAATTGACGTATAGATGTTATATATGTAAATAAATAGGAACTTAGTATTATATATGTAAATCTTCCTTAATTGCAACCCTGTTTCTGACAGCATTCATTCTGTATGTAGACTAGGAAGCAAAGCAGGACATTGGAAGCTGTTGGGAAAGTCTGGGCTCAAATTCACTTCAGATGATTGGAGGCTGAGAAAAATCACTTGCGGTGCTCACTGTTAAGTTAGTTGGTGATCTGAATTTTTGAACTGTTTTGAAGTGAATTATGCTTCAAAAGTATCAAATAGGTCGCTGCCACAATTCTATTTTAAACAATTTTACTAAACAGACACAATATGGTTATAAATAGAGCTCTAACCCTCAATTGACTGGGTAGTAGAACTTGGAGCCTGAAGAGAGAGCTTGAAGCTCTGAGAAGAGCTTGTAACTCTGAGAATGGGCTGAAATCCAACATTACTTTTGGAAGCTTGATAAATTTATTTGGAAGGTCAAATGAATGTCAAATTTGACAAACTTATTACTTATAGCCCAATTGAGCGTCTAGATATGACAAACCAAACGAGCCTAAGATGGCTCAATTTCGAGATCAGTAAGGCACACAAATATCCATCAAACGTCGGCTGATGAAATGAAGCTCTTCGGACCATTCGATCAAGTGGTTCATATCGTTGCGTTAATTGCACTTAGAACTCTATATTTAGATCCCTAACCCTCAATTGACTGGGTAGAAGAACTTGAAGCCTGAAGAGAGAGCTTGAAGCTCTGAGAAGAGCTTGAAACTCTGAGAATGAGTTAAAGTCCAACATCACTTCTGACCGCTGTCAACCACCGTCGATCGTCGTTGACCGTCTCCAACCGTCTTTAATCACTGCTGACCATCGTAGACTGCAGCCGACCACCGTCGAGCAACTCCTGCCAGTCATTACAAATCGCTATCGGTCGCCACCCGTTTCTTACAACAAGTTTATCCATACGTAGAACTTATAAACCTTTACTGCCCGTGGGACAAGTAGTTGCAACTATAATCTTGATTTCAAAGTGGAAGTCTTCAGCTGATCAAGATCCCGTGTTTTTTCCCTTCACGGGATTTCCACGTAAAAAACTTCTGGTGTCATTACTTGTTTTCTCTCTTCTAAGAGTGTGTTTAATATTCGTACTACACTAAGATGATAAGAACATTACTCTACTACTGTGAATTTTCTATCACGCATCAGTTTGGTGCGGTCTGTTGCAAAAGCGCATTCCCATCACTACAGTACTCGAGAGACTTGCTACATGGCCAGTAGGCACTCGTAGCAACAAAGCATCCCGCACCAACGTATATCATTCCATAAGGCAATCAAGGATCCAAGGGCACAAGGCCTTTGCATCCTCCTACTGCATAAGGTATTGTCCCATTGATAAGGGTGTCTTAGATCATTCTCTGGAAGAACGAGTATGTAGGATGAAGGAATAGCCAAATTGAGCGTCTAGATATGACAAACCAAACAAGCCTAAGATGGCTCAATTTCGAGATCAGTAAGGCACACAAATATCCATCAAACGCCGGCTGATGAAATGAAGTTCTTCGGACCATTTGATCAAGTGGTTCATATCGTTGCGTTAATTGCACCTAGAACTCTATATTTAGATCCCTAACCCTCAATTGACTGGGTAGAAGAACTTGAAGCCTGAAGAGAGAGCTTGAAACTCTGAGAATGAGTTAAAGTCCAACATCACTTCTGACCGCTGTCAACCACCGTCGATCGTCGTTGACCGTCTCCAACCGTCTTTAATCACTGCTGACCATCGTAGACTGCAGCCGACCACCGTCGAGCAACTCCTGCCAGTCATTACAAATCGCTATCGGTCGCCACCCGTTTCTTACAACAAGTTTATCCATACGTAGAACTTATAAACCTTTACTGCCCGTGGGACAAGTAGTTGCAACTATAATCTTGATTTCAAAGTGGAAGTCTTCAGCTGATCAAGATCCCGTGTTTTTTCCCTTCACGGGATTTCCACGTAAAAAACTTCTGGTGTCATTACTTGTTTTCTCTCTTCTAAGAGTGTGTTTAATATTCGTACTACACTAAGATGATAAGAACATTACTCTACTACTGTGAATTTTCTATCACGCATCAGTTTGGTGCGGTCTGTTGCAAAAGCGCATTCCCATCACTACAGTACTCGAGAGACTTGCTACATGGCCAGTAGGCACTCGTAGCAACAAAGCATCACGCACCAACGTATATCATTCCATAAGGCAGTCAAGGATCCAAGGGCATAAGGCCTCTGCATCCTCCTACTCCAGAAGGTATTGTCCCACTGATAAGGGTGTCTTAGATTATTCTCTGGAAGAACGAGTATGTAGGATGAAGGAATCTCAACACAAGATCCTTCATCACTTACATATGGAGCAATTGCAACCAACGGAGGCTACTTACCACCAGTTCAACATTCAACAGAAAATACCCCACTCACCGGGCTCTTTCCTAATAATGAAATCATTCTCTGTTGAGACGGGATGTCGATCTTCTCGACATTACAAGTTCCACTCATCAGTCTTATGCAACTTACTTGACACAATCTCGCCTTACTATTGCTTTTGCTGATATCATCCATGATGAGTTACAATGCTTGGATCGGGAAGAGTTTCCTCTGGATAAAAAGGGTCGCTTCGTTGTTCACCGTAACTTCCAAGAATCCTCTCATTTGGCTTACACGGATGAACTTATCGTAAGAAGTGACGACGACTGATTCTGATCATAAATGACCGACGAGTGATGACCAGCGGAGGTCAGCGACTGGCGACTACTAATGGTCGGCAACAAAGTGATGTTAAACTTCAGCTCCTTTTCTAAGCTTCCAGCTCTCATTCAAGTTTCAAGCTTTCTTCTATGAGAGTGTTGGAGTTTTATTTATAGAGTTGTGGGTGCAATTAACGCTAAAATTTGAACTACTTTGATGGGACGGTTAGAAAAGGTTCCCTGGATCGAACGACATTTCCTAAACATTTGAGGGCCTTAAAGATGTCGAAATTGAATGATCTTGGGCTCGTTGGATTCGTTTTGTCGATACACACAATTCAATTATAAGTTCACTGATTTTGACATTCATTTTACCTCAGAAACATTCCAAGTGGCTTGTTCTAAGCTCGTCTTGATTCAGATTGGATCATGGTCATGTCATTTGGTTGGCCATTTGGTTGATCTCGTCGAGCCGATCAGTTTAACTTTTGTTTGTTATTTTTATAAATAACAATGTTTTAGGTGATTTTGTAAATAGCAATGTTCCCGATGATTTTGTAAATACTATAAATATATTTTATTTTAAATTAAAGTATAAATAAAACAGAGTAAAACTATATAAATTAAAAAAAAAATGATCCCAAAATCCAAATGACTAATTTTACCAATTTGGAGCACCAATTCTATGATCATACGTACAATAACCTGAAATAAAATTCATCAGCAGCCACAGATCTTTTGGCAGATCCTGCCACGTGTCCATCTCTCCCGACCATTCTAGAACCTTCTCCACTCTTCTCGCCTCGCACCAGTTCTCGACCCTTCTCCCCACTTCCTCTATCATCCTCTGCTCCTTCGCTTAAAACTATCATCTCCATGCCCCAATTGGAAAACACGGAGACCAAGCGACGAAGCCGCCAAGGAGAAGAACCAGACGACTCGAAGAAGAAGAAGAAGGGCACCGGAACTGAATCAAGCTCCAATAGGCGAAGCTCGACGATGGGAGCAGATTACTACAACATCCTCCAAGTCGATCGAAACGCGAAGGACGATGATTTGAAGAAAGCATACCGCAAACTCGCCATGAAATGGCATCCCGACAAAAACCCTAACAATAAGAAGGAAGCCGAGGCGAAATTCAAGCAGATTTCTGAGGCTTATGAGGTATTACGATCGGTGTTTGCGAAATACATGTTGGTTTTAGGGTAAATAGGTTTTGATCGAGATCGATTTTATTGTAGGTTTTGAGCGATCCTCAAAAGCGTGCTGTTTATGATCAGTATGGGGAGGAGGGGCTTAAAGGCGGTGTTCCGCCGCCGTCGGGAGGCGGCGCGGGACCAGGTGGGGCGAGTTTCTTCACCGGCGATGGGCCTACTGTTTTTAGATTTAATCCAAGGAACCCTGATGATATCTTCTCGGAGTTTTTTGGATTCTCGAGCCCCTTTGGTGCGATGGGGGGTGGGAATGGGATGAGAGGGGGCATGAGGTTTTCGAATTCGATCTTCGGAGATGATATGTTTGGATCGGCGTTCGGTGGTATGAGAGAGAATCCGATGGAGTCGCAGAGGCAGCATAAAGCTCAGCCGATTGAGAACAAGTTACCTTGCAGCTTGGAGGAGTTGTATAAGGGGACCACGAAGAAGATGAAGATCTCCAGGGAGATTGCTGATATCAGCGGGTGAGTTTTTTTTTTTTTTTTTTTTTTTTCTTTTTTTGATTGAATTCCAGAATCTGGAAAAGTTGATTGATGAATATTGGTTTGGTTATCTTTGTCGTTAAACTTCACACATGCAAAATATGGAAGAATCTACATATACTAGACTGCAGAAAGCGGAAAATTTTCCCGAAGCCATGTGTATTGTACAAACAAAAGCTATTATACTTCCGAATTGTAGACTATGTAAGATCCTGTTCGATTTCAACTAGGATTTTGATTATTGAAATTATGAGAATTATTGAGCATGATTAATGTCAAAGTTGATTAAACAGCCAACTGTTTGATTGATGTTGTTGAAATTTAGGAATGAAGGTGAAGAGAAGGTAGTGTTAAGTGTAAATTTCGTAAATTAAAGAAAAAAATGAAATTATCATAAACTATTTCTCCTAGGATTTAATGTAGAATAGAAAGGTTACTAGGTCTCACCTCAATTGCTGAACTCAATTTTCTTTTTACTGCTATATTTGTTTCAAAACAAAACGGTGCTGAATTTTTATATCATAAATTACTAGAACCAACTTATGCAATTATACTCCACTGAGTAGAACTTATGAAACTATGCCTATTGAATGGCTGAATTAAGCTCATGCCATTGATTGCACCTTTTTTTCCGAAGATTTCCCATCAACATTTCCTCATTTTTGTTTTTTTTTTTTTTTTTCAAGCTCATGCCATTGATTGCACCTTTTTTTTCCGAAGATTTCCCATGAACATTTCCTCATTTTTGTTTTTTTTGTTTTTTATTTTTTTAACCAATTGGAATTCATAAATGATCATT